GAATATCTTTGGGTTTTGGACCTTGAATTTGTAAAAACAAGCTCCTTGGAAACTGTGATAGGCATTTTTTTGTAACCTATTTTGTTGTTTTCTATTGTAAAACTTAAAACTTTGTCCATGATGTTTTCTCTTATAAAACTTGACCTGGATTTCTTTCGAATGACTTCAGACCACTTGTCCCAGTAGACTTACGACAGCTATGGTAGCGAAAGTAAAGGAACAGGAGTGTGTTTCTTCTTCATTTTACTCATTGGTACCTGCTCTGTACGATGGCCTGCTCCACTCGTGTACTTTTCTCTGATGGAGGAGTCCCGGCTGATTTCTGGCTCATCATGGACAAGAACTGAAGCAACAATTTAGTGCTCTCCGTCTTTCCTGCCCCTGATTCACCACTGGAGTACACACACACACACACAACCCAATTCAATTAAATACACTGTGACCTTCTGCGACATTCCCATATCTCAAACCGGTCTGGTCGTTTAATTGATATTGAGTTTTGATAGCTTCAGAGATATTGCATTAGCTCCCAGTCTATCTCAATCAGGATACCAAGTGAAACAAAGCCTGAGTGTAATTGAAAGCACGATGAGATGTCTGACCCTACAACCAGATCGAGCCAGTTCGCCAAGCAGACCAGGAGGCGGTTAATCAACCTCATCCAAAATGCAACCTCTGGTTCACCCTCTAGTACTTCTTCATCCGATTCCACATCTGGTTATTTGGGATTGACTCTTTGAACTTAATCTTTGCTCCGCCTCTACTCCCTAAACACCCACTGAAATCAATACGTCTGAACATGGAGTGCTGGTCTCCTTCCTTCAGCCTTCACCTTGATTTTTATGAACTTTCATTTTCTAAATGTCTCTGCATGGGCTTTCAAAGACCATTAATATATTCAAGTGCTCTAATATTAATGATGTAAGGGAGATAAAGAGTATTTGCACTATTGATTAAATTAATCAGATTGTCATGAACATTTCTGAAGATATTTTAGTCTCCTAAAGAAGCTTCCTGAGCCTCCATCTGGTCTCACAATCTGGGAAATATTCCTCTTGACCAACACCAAAATCCATGACGATCTGTAATAACATTATATTAATCTGCATGGTAGTTGGTTGTGAGCATGTAAACAAGAAGTGAATCAGAAATCCACTTAGATCAGCCATAAATATTTAGATTGGTGTAAATTGTATTTCCCTATTTTTGAGAGAAGCAGTAATTCAGACACATCCCAGAGCTGAGCAAAAATATAGGCTAAGCTCACTCTTAAAATGTTGAGAAATACAGTTATTTGCTTCCTTGCAGCGAGTTAGATGGACAACTAGTCTCATGTCTGTAAAGTAAATAGGAAACTAAAGCTAGCAGCCGGTTGGCTTAGCTTAAAATAAACACTGGACAGCTACAGGCTCTGTGCAAAGGTGACAAAAACCACCTACCAGCATTTCCAAAGCTCACAAATTAACACATTATATCTTATTAGTTAAAAAAGTGCAGTGAAAAAAAACAACATTTTGTGTTTTTGTAGGGACTAACCAAACAAATATATCTCCTTGTTTCGGGTCTTTATGATAATCTAGCTAACTGTCTCCTGGCAGTTGCTTTATATTTACAGATTAGGAGTGGATAAGACAGACATTCTGCATTCACAGACAAGTGTGTATCTGGAAGTAGGGCAGTGGCAATTGTTGGGTTTTCTAAAAACAGAACTTCCCTCTCACCTAAAGCATGTCGGGATTGCTTGCCTGTAATAGAGGGCTTAAAAGTTGGATGGGTCGCTTGGGAGATTGGGAGACTGATACATGGAGAAGTCGTAAATTACAGGTAAACTTCTATATTTATCAAAACAGCCTCCTCCATGGTTGAAACTCACCTGATGAGGACACATTGGCTGTCGTGGCGTTTCCAGATGCAGCGGTAGCATTCATTGGCCACGGCAAAGATGTGCGGAGGGAGCTCCCCTAGATGGTGCTTGGAGTACAGATCCACCCTCTCTGTGTCATACAGACCTGGGATCTGCTTGTAGGGGTTGACGGCTGCCAGGATGCTGCCAATATTAGTCTAAAAAGAGTGAAAAAGTGACATTTCAGGTTCTGTCTCTATATTTTTTTTTACTTTTCTTTTGTTGTCAGCTTTTTCCACATGCAGAAGCATTGACACACACCTAACAAGCTCTCAGGAATGCATACAGAACACAAATATGTGCAATTTCAAAGCATCCTTGTGTTGATATTAATCTGGATTGAAGGATAAGGGAACACAGCAGGGTGCAGATCTGAGAGTGGGAGTGACGAGTGACAAATCGCCAGATATTTATTAGAAAGCTGAGGTCAAATCAGTGTGAAGATGGAGGAGGGAGGCTAGATTTATATTTTCAAGTGTTTGTGCTGAGACAGTCACCTTGGTTTCTATCCTTTTGCACTAGAAACTTCAGGTCAGCATGGCTTCCATCGTGTCATATTACCCCGTCTGTGCAGTTTGTGAACTACACACATAAAACTGTGCTGAAGGACACATAAAAGCATGAACACACAGTGACACAGAAAGCTGACCTACACAGGGTAAATTCTTATGATCAGCTTAAGGGAAATCCGTGTATGGACAATATTTCATCATCTAGATTAGGTCACACCCAGGGAGGCCGTTATTGGTCTGCTGTCTGGTAATCTTTCAGGTTTTCCGGCATTCCAAACGTCTGACTTTTAACTCACCATAAATGTGATCAAAATGCACTCGTTTTTGTCCTTGATTTTAATTAATTGATCTCAATACCCATTCTATAAGCTCAAACAGAGATTATCGTCCTTTCGGTTTTATGGACATCATCTTATGCATCTATTCATTACAGATGTACACATAAACAAATTAGTGCAGCAATTCATTACTCTTGTGATTATTGAGTAAATTATGGGATCTGAGAAAGACAGCAGAGATAGATAGATAGATAGA